ACCAGTCCAAGACATATTGTTGACAATCTGTCGACGACTAATAATTGACAACCTGTCAGGTACTGATCGGGGATTGGGACTCGACTGGGAACTCGATTTTTGAAATTCAACAGACGCACTATTACAATAATAAAGCACAAAATAAAATAAATGATACTGAACAAAACCTATGAAGACTAAACTCGATTAACAAATACAAATCAGAACTGTCGGAGACAATAGATACAAATAATATAATTACAATCACGAAATGTTCCCGTTATTCGACAATTTCACATTACTCATGCGTGAAAAAAGCGCTGGACTTTTGAATCTAGTTATTTTCTATCTCTCTTATCATCGTCTTACGACGATTATCCTCTGTCATCGTTACTTTAAACAACTACTATCATCTAGTCCAGTGGTGGGGAAACTTTTTTTAAGACGGGCCATTTGTAATAACTAGACAATCGCAGCGGGCCAAAGAATAATGCTTAATCGTTAAAACATTTATGTGTTCTATAAACATATACATATATTATTACATACATTTATTATTTTAATGGTAAAAAAGCAAAAGGTAAGAAAATTATAAGCACAAAATATAAAATGAATTTAGTGTAGTTCTTGATGTGAAGTATTATCACTTTATTTTCTGGTGTCATTACTGGTTGATGGTGCATGAGAAAAATGAAATTGAGACTGTTTCATCAAAATTTCATCATAGTCCGGTTCCATTTGCGAAGCAAAGATTCTTAAAACTGATGAAAGGTGCTCATCTGTAATTCTGTTTCTTAAAGAATAATACTATTGTGTTTTGGATATCGCCGCAAGTAGTTTTTATGCGGGTCGTCACAATACGAAGTAAGAACGCGTTCATTCTCACGACGGCACTCTTAAACGGGCCGGATTAAACCTTTCCGCGGGCCGGACTTGGCCCGCGGGCCGTAGTTTCCCCATCACTGATCTAGTCTATATAGTGCGGGAACCAGTAACACTTTTTTGTTATAAATTTGTACAAGGCATATTCCAAACAGGCTTTTTTAAAAGTTGTCGTCGAGGGCTCCATCGCTGCAGGGATTAGCAAAGTATCTCCATGTTCTACAAAGTAAGAATGAACGAAATATTTGTAGTTTTGCCTTGTGCAAATAACACACCGAAAATTGTCACCGACTCTCCTACCAATAATGAAAGTTAAAAATGATATTTATGGATGTATAATTGGAACTCAGGATAGGAAACATAACAACAACAAATTTTGATGATTTTAACAGGAAGTATGATTTGCGCATGAGTAATAGAGACTATCAGTAACGGAAAAGGTCTATTACATACCTTTAAACTACTTTTTATGACCTACAAATAATTCGCTCAGTGCAAAGTCATGGTAGGGGAACCAAGATTGACACTAGCGCGAGCTGTGCATAATTCGAGCCCTTTAGGGCGATATTTTGTAATTTTGGCTTATCAAATGCACATATATATTTTAGAATTTTTTCAAAAAATAAATAAAAACAATACAATGAGTAACCGGAGTTGCTGTGTTGTAGGTTGTAATAATACTAGCAAAAAAAACAGTGTAAATTATATAAATTTTCAGTAGCAAAATGGAAATTAAATCAAAGAAATAAATGGATAGCTGTAGCTACAATAATAACAAAAAACGTACCTTTCATTTTGTAATAATACCAGTATTACTGGACATAGTAAATATCAGAAAGAAGAAAGGTTTTAAATAAACAATTTTAAGATATTTTTCAACATATCTTAAATGTTTAGCAAGGACTAGATTTCTGCTTTTGATTATGGTATGTGGCTGGAATGCAAATTTGTGACTTATTGATAGGAAACCAGTTTTAATCATTAATTTTATGTTTTCTTTGGAACTAAAAATGAAGAAAATAAAAATGACAATCGCAAATATACCACTTATTTTTCTTTTGGTAATACATTTTGATTCCTCGTTATTATTTCTGTGTTTAGGAAAAGAGGTGATCTTCATAGAGGTGTCACAGGTACTATTTTGAGTTCTATTAATCAATGGGTAAGGGATGGCAAAATTCTTATCTCGTTATCTAATAATCGCTAATTATGTCACCAGAAATGCCATTGTTTTAACCACTTTGCTCAGTATAATGATTGGTACAGGGAGCGTTCAAGTATTACGTAACGCAATTTTTGGAGATTTTTAATCCCCCCTCCCCCCCATGTAACGCGCCGTAACGTTTTTCTGTACCCCTCCCCCCTAGTAAAACGTTACGTAACCACCAAGTGACTATTTTTACCTAAAAATCACTATTATATTATATAGAGTTATATATAGAGCTAACTATGTTAATACATAGTTAATAATAGTATTACTCGTCACACATAAAAAAATGACCTTAAGAGGGGATGTACCGAGAAGTAGATTTCCTTATTACCTTTTCTATGTGACGCCCGTGGTATATTTTCTATTTACATTTTTTTATTTGTGCACATATCAAATGTTATTCAGGATTAGATCCTTTTAAATGGGTCACACTATTACCAAAAACATTTTTTTTTATCAAAATGGTCAAGTTTAACCCCGCATTTGAAATGATGGATCACCCTTTATAAATCCGCTTCTTTTCTAAGCCTCTATGGAATGTTTGCTTAATGAGAAAGGAAGAAGAAGTTAAAAAAATAAGTGCAATTTTTATGATCACATAAAAAGCAATATATTTTGGTCACAGTGGCAAACAAATAATATTTTTATAAAATTTCTACCTGTAGGTGATTGTCAATTAATGGCATTTTTATTCATAAACGGAAGTTTTTCCACTAAAATGTCTAAATAATATTTAGTATTCTTATTAGTCTAAGAGCTAGGCCGCAAGGTGGTACGATCGTTCCTCTGGCTGGAATGTTTTGAAATGTTTGGCGGGACCATCAGTAAGTGTTATCTGCAGATATTTAGTTAAGAACCTCTTCAAAGAAGACGTCAAACACTTCAAAGTTGTAAAAAATATCGATTAAAAAATCGATCATACCTCCGGTTGAAAATCACCTCTTTGAAGTTCAGAGATGAGGTATAAAAATCGAGAGATGGCTAAGTCACTACTGAGGACCAGGTACGATTGTACCACTTAATGGCTGCTAGTTCTCAGTCATTGCGAGAATAACATCTAAATAGCTGGCGATATTACTGATTTATCGTTAAAAAACAAAGTACTATAAGGCGTTTGTTTAATTAGGGAAATACCAATGCTTAAAAGTACTCATTTCTCTCAATATTTTCATGTGAAATGTCATATGTCAACATGAAAACAGTATTTTTAAAGCCAATGATAATTCAAATTCTTGGGAGAATTTTAATCCTCTCGAAATAAACCAAAAGAAACAGTCTACGAGTTTTCACTGGCTTTAAAAATACTATTTTTACGATGACGTATGACATTTCTTATGAAAATCTTGAGAAAAATCACTTTCGAGTTTGAAAATAGCCCCCCAGAAATTGCTGGCCGGTGGGGTTATTATTGTGGCCTCCATGTAAGCGAATACAATGGTCTTGAGATATTTGGCATATTGATAAAAACTGTAAATATGTGTGTGAGTCGGTGGTGTAAATTACGTGTTTTTAAGGCACTAATATACTTATTCATTTCATTTAAAAAAGTTTCTATACCTTCATAATTTTTTAAGGCAACTGCTTTTTATAATGAAACTAAAGTAAATTTCTAGAAATTAAAATAACAAAAAGAATATTTATGATTATTTTAAATCTAATTTTTGCACCAACTGCAGCAAATTCTCTCATTTTTAATTAATCTACAAAACCCTAATATGGTTACTCTGTCACTCAAAGCACAATTATTATCTCAAATACGGCCCTGCACAATGTTTACTATGTTGTATATTTAGTTGTGGAATGTTATTTCAGATTTTTTCATATAAATATCTACAAATATGTTGAGCACAAGCAACCAATGTTTAATTTTTAATATGTACAATATATTTAGTTTGCAAACGACACAAAAATAGAAAAAACGTTGATTGAAACCACGATTAGCTGTTTGAAGGATTCGTGAACGCAATATGGCGGAAGTGAACCCAATATGGCGGAAGTGAACCCGTCTTGGACCACGTGACAGCGTCTCCCTACCTTCTACCTCCATGATATTTTTACTTGTGCATGTCGGACTTGCACAAGTGGAATTACGCGTGTGTATGTGAAAGACTTATACAAGCTTGAAACAGTTGAGATTTGATAATTCCTAGAGTAGTGCGATTTACGATTTTGGTGCTATTACGAGTCACTTGAAAAAAGGGACATCGAGAATGTTTCGAATAATTTATTTCTATATACGAACACGAGCCATGTTTGTGGTGCATTAAAAGCAAAGATTATTTAAAAAACTAAGAAACAAAATTAAGGGGAGATAGACCCAAAAGCTGATCGTAATACAACGGTTAAAAAAACTCAACTCCTTCCGAACGAATCACAGGAAGGAGAAGAAGAAAATAAACAGTGGCCAACGTGTTGTCGTCGTCGTCGTCTGACAATAAAATGGTTCAAGTTTAATCTGGCGCATTGTGCAAGCATACTTGTACGTGTGTTGTCAAACGCAATATTCAAGCATACATGTAAACATGTACATACTGGTACGTCTATGGGGTCTTTATATATCGAAAAACCGAAGCTAGCCTTATAAGCTCGATCATGATAAAATATACAGGGTGTCACTAAAGATAGAATCAATATCAGGTGTAACTCAAAGTGACAAAGGCCTGGAACTACTTTCACTTTACAGTTTATCCTTCAATAAAACGCCTGCATACTAATTATCAGATTTCAAATCCCTTTATGAACAAAAATCACCTACAGTTAAAGAATCTTAAAAGAAAATTATTCGATTAACTCTAACACTGCCTGGAAGCCACAAAATATATTCCTTTTAGAATTTATATCGTTTGAATCCTTTCTCATTTTTATTTTCCACGCACCAATGAACAACTAAACCCTCTTCGGTCACTGCTTAGAAGCTTATTCTGTTTAGATCTTCCTCCCAGAGGCTATCGGTCTCGCACGAATAGTTCGAGCGGCATAGGTGAGACAGATTTTGTTTTCTTGCAATCCTCACCCGTAGGTCATATGCATTGGCAGCCAGTCAGTATAGGTGCCAACTCTGAAAGTCTCAGTATGAGTGACCAAAGTTCCAGATGTAGCTCGCAGCCGCCTTCTCCTGGTAAGTACTTTGAGGGAACTAGAAGCGTTTGATAGATGACAATCCTTTGGGTGATTTCTAAACAAAACACAATAAAACTATATTTTAAATTAGCTACAATCTTGTAAGTATTCGTAATATTAACAACAGTCCTAAACTGTCATAAAACCGTCGAATTGTCTTAATATTAAAGATACTCAAATTATCATATTCAAGCAGTTTGATACCCCTCTTTGTTTTCAGATAACATATAGGGATATGCAGTTTTCTGACCAGAGTCATAGGTTGCTAATTAAAACTATTATTTACTTATTTAGTACCTAAAGAGTGAAGCTCAAAATCAATACTACATTAGTACCCAGCAAACACTGATTTGGAGGAAACTTGTCGGCCGATGATTAAAATTATGGTACATAAATACGGCAATTAAACATTGCATAATAAGTATAGGTCATTCACTGAATTTACACCCATATCGGATTAAGAAATAAATGAAAGATTTGACTGGTCAGTTGTATTTTAAACATTTACTCATGGGTGGCGTTATTTTGTATATTGCAAGGGGTTCTTATAGAAACAAAATAAATATAAATTTTAGGTATTTAATTTTGCCTCAGAAAGCTTAAAAGAGATAGTTACATGATTTTGTTGTTTAATAATAGTTTATTCAGAACAAAAATTTTAATTTACATACACAGTTTTACCCTGCGATTAAGTAAGTACGATAATTAAAAATAACATAACTTTTAAAATTCTATATTAAACAGTGATTATTATAAATAATTGTCTTTTGACATACCTATAAATCTTCAGCATCACTGTCTGGAAAGACGTGACACTGAAGCTAGCGGCCTAGGCACACAGCGGCCAGCAAGAAAGCAGTGGCGTAGCAATCAACAAATTGCCTCTGGCATAGAATAAACAAAAGACTGAAAATTTTGAATAAGTCAAGCGAGTCTAGCATCATTATCATACAGAACAATACTATTTATCCGTTTATTCACATAGGGCAGTATTTTGAAGGACGAAAATCAATTCACAGGACAAAAGGGAATACAAGGAATTCAAACTCCTCAAAAAAAAAAAAAATAGAAATATTTAAAAGTTTCATCATCCAAATTTTTTATCAAAGCCATCCAGTAAAGGACAAAATTAAATTTGAGTGGAAAAAAGGCCAAGGATTAATTTGAAGGACATGAAATTCTTAGTAAATAAATATCGACTCCGTAGAAAAATCGAAACGTAAATATTTGAACTTTTCGCGGTCCAGATTTTTTGTAGAGGTCCTCAAGAATTGAAATCGATTAAATTTGCGAGGAGAGGAGGCCAAAGATCGGAAAAAAGGACATGAAATCCTTAGTAAAATGTCATTTTCTCCGTAAAAAAATCTGAACGTAAATATTTGGACTTTTCACAGTCCAGATTTTTTCTAGAGGCCCTCGAGAATTAAAATATATCAAATTTGCGAGGAGAGGAGGCTAAGGATCGGAAAAAAGGAGATGAAATCCTTAGTAAAATTTAATCGACTCCGTAAAAAAATCTGAACGTGAATTTTTGGACTTTTTACGGTCCAGATTTTCTCTAGCGGCCCACGAGGATTAAAATAAATCAAATTCGCGAGGAGAGGAGGCCAAGGATCTGAAAAAAGGACATGAAATCCTGAGTAAAATTTCATCTTCTTCGTAAAAAAATCTGAACGTGAATATTTGGACTTTTTGAGAAAATGAAATTTTACTAAGGATGTCATGTCCTTCGACTCGATCCTTGGCCTCCTCTCCTCACTAATTCAATTTATTTAAATGCTTGAGGGCCTCTAGAAAGAATCTGGTTGGTGAAAAATGCAAAATTCACGTTCAGTTTTTTTTACGGAGTCGATTAAATTTTACTAAGGATTCCATGTCCTTCGACTTAATCCTTGGCCTCCTCTCCTCTCGAATTTGATTTATTTAAATTCTAGAGGGCCTCTAGAAAAAATCTGGACCGTGAAAAGTCCAAATATTCACGTTCAAATTTTTTTACGGAGTCGATCAAATTTTACTAAGGATTTCATTCCCTTTTTTCCCATCCTTGGCCTCCTCTCCTCGCAAATTTGATTTACTTAAATTCTAGAGGACCTTTAGAAAAAATCTGGACCGTGAAAAGTTCAAATATTCGCGTTCAGATTTTTTTACTGAGAAGAAATTTTACTAAGGATTCCATGACCTTCGACTCGATCCTTGGCCTCCTCTCCCCGCTAATTTAATTTATTTGTGTATTTGAGGGCCTCTAGAAAAAAATATGGACCGTAAAAAGTCCGAATATTCACGTTCAGATTTTTTTACGAAGAAGATGAAATTTTACTAAGGATTTCATGTCCTTTTTCCCGATCCTTGGCATCCTCTCATCGCAAATTTAAATTATTTGTGTATTTGAGGGCCTCTAGAAAAAATCTGGACCGTGAAAAGTCCAAATATTCACGTTGATTTTTTTACAGAGAAGATGAAATTTTACTAAGAATTCCATGTCCTTCGACTTTTTTGCGACTTGGCAACAGTGTAAGACGTAAAAGTAGCATCTGCGAGCTTTGATTTGAGAAAAATTGTGAAATATTTCTATTTAAAAAAATTAATTTTGTCTTTATTATTAATTTGCACAAGATATGGAAGTAAGATAATATATGAAAAATAAGCATATCATAAGGAATGGTAAATATTTTAAGCATATTAATATTTTGTTAAATAACACTGAATGGACAAAGATATTATTTAAAAAAGTATAATTGGGATAATTAAATTTTGAAAATTTATATTTTACTATGTGTAGTATTTTGAATTTCTGTTAAGTTGATATTATTAGTCACACAAGAATTCTTGACTAATTTAGATAGATAAAATGTGTATCATACTTCATTTTTGTTCGAACATTTGACTGAAACGGTTTATTATTTTATATTTACGGATAAATTGTTAGTTTTTGTTATGAAATAGACATTTGTGCAAGTGTTAGTGTATTTTATTGTCATATTTACTGACTGTATGGACTACATGTGCATATAAGCCCGTTTTCCAACAATTTTCAGTGTTTTAGGTAAATATATATTTTTTTTTACATTTTGTTACAAACGGACAAATATTACTATACATATACGTTTCTAGATTTTCAATAATTGTTAATATGGTACTTTTAATACAAAAGTGACACTTTACTAAAATTATCTATTAACAGGAGAGCGCTTTTAACTTTTAATATTATTTTGTTCTACAAAGTTTACTATTAAAATACTACTCGCACCAATTCTTTTGTTATTAATAAAACTATTCTAGTTTTAGGTTATTTGTCAAGCAGTAAGGTAAAAAAAATAAAATATAAAAAAAAAGAAATTTAAACGGACTTTTTGTATAGTGGGTGTCACTTTTGTTTTAAAAGTGCGAATGAAATTTAATAGCACCTTGTATAGTTGGATCCTAGCAATTTTTTTAACATCTTTTCTAAGCAGATATTAGATTAGGAGTTGGACGTTATTTGTTCTTGTCCACCGCGACCTTTTCAGATCTATTGTGGGACTCCGTTTGTTTTAGAGTATGTCGTCTAGCCTGGTCTTTTTTATTAGACTTAGTAGCTTTGACAGTGGCTCCCGCATGTAGTTACATGCATTTGGCTTTTCTTCGCCCAATGTTAGAAACCTCATTCCAGCCAAACCTTCACATTGGCACAGGACGTGGAATGATGTTTCCTCTTCTTCACAGAACCTGCACAAAGTTTCTTCTTCTGCTGGATTGATGACACTCGTGTGCCTTTTAAAGCGACAGTGTCCAGTAAGAAGGCCTACTGTTATCCTAACGGTTTAACGCTTTTGATCCAATAGTGAACTTGGCCGATGGTTCCTTGATGAACTGTTTGGCCTGTCTCAGTCTTGGATAGTTGTTCCACCATTCCTGAGACTATTTTTGCATCCATCTTTTAATGGATGCCTTGCACAATGCCTTTGCAACTCCACAGAAGGGTTCGGGCCCTGTCATGCCCTTATCTGAACCTTCGCGGGCTAATTCGTCGGCCTTTTCATTGCCCTGATATCCCTCTTGGCCTGGAACCCAGGCTAGGGTCACCTTATTTTGACTACTTAGCTCTGCCAGGTCTTCTAGACAGTCTTTCACCAATCGTGATTTGATTTCTGGTGAGAGAATTGCCTTTAGAGCTGCTTGGCTATCAGAGTATATAGCAATAGATCGTTTATTTCAAAAAATAGAAAAGTTTAGTAAATATTCTAAAATGCATGGGTTCGGCTTAACGTTTTTCGGTTAAGTTTATATTTTATAAAAGCAATTAAAGAATATTTTTTTCAGTAGCGCACATTTATTTATGACAAAAAATGAGCCCCTTTAGTGATCTTGAGGTCCAAATAGGGTAGGTCAAAATTTGACCTAGGATATCCATTTTTAACACACTCAATATGATAGCTTTCTATAAGTAACGCGACAATATTATTAAAAAAAAAACGCTCATTTCGGCCCGGCCTAATCTGGGAAGTACTTTATAGGAGATAATTTTTCTACTTTAAGGTATATTTCTGTTATTTACGATTAGAGAAGAAAATTCTTTAAATTAGAGTCGTCTGTGATATCATTCTCTATAATTTTTGTCATACAGTGTGTTAGTATATTCGAACGACAATGCTCTACCCCAGAGAGCTCTCGTAAATTGATCAATTTTGATATATCTTGAGAGTACTTTTCCAGTACTAAATTGTTAATAATTTTGTGTGCTTCTAAAGTAATTATCCAGCATTTGCAAGTGATGGGGAATTGTATACCTGAAAATTGTCGGCCGCCAGGACGCGAGGATGCCGGAAGTGTGGTCTGACACAAATGCAGTGCCGACACTGTACTGTTCACATCTATTGTGCCAGTGTTGTGCCATTAATGTGTGTTTGCTGGGTAGTTTGTGTAACAAGAGTGGATATGCACAATCCACTCGAGTTGTACATTATACTTTTTCTACGACCCACTAAAGAAAATCAACAAATTTAAAAAAAAATAAGTTAT